GTGTGTGTGTGTGTGTGTGTGTGTGTGTGTGTGGAGAGAGAGGGAAAGAGAGAGCAGCAGTCAGCTCTCCCCACCCAGGTCAACAGACGATCATGCTAAGCTTGCTAACTGTTCCACCCTCTGACCGCTGCAGGGGCGTGTCTTAGAGAGAGGCTTTTATACCAGAACACAGCCGCTGTGACGAAACTGTGGAGAAGACACGTCACCGTGGAGAGCCGTTAACCAATATGCAAATTAGCCTGCAGTACCACTGCTCTACCCCTATGAGCAGCAAAAAGACGTTTTTAGACCAAATGTTACAGATTTGGACAAATACGCACAAAAACATCAAAATTAGCACAGAAACAGTACTACATAACATTTGAGACACATTCTAGACAGTTTATCAGCTAAAAAAAGTTAATTTTGGGGTAAGTTACTCTTTAAGAAAATAATCTATTGTCAAATGATAAAGCAGTTGATTTCATTGTTTTGATTTTTCAGTAAACTGCCCTTTTCTCAGTTTTGAATCACTGTACCACTTGAGATATTGCACATGCTAGAATGGACTTTGTTGGTATGTGCACACTGCATTGACATGGGTTGTGTATCACTGAGTGTGCCCTCTTTAGTTTGCAGTAAGTGCACATACCTGTAAACTTTTTTTGTTTTGTTTTAATGATCATAGAAATAGGAAGAGTTTGGAAGAAAATTTTCTTCACAACTGCAAGTGGTTATTTGTTATACAAGTTATGCAGCCTTTTTGGGGGGCTTTTGACTTTGTGTATTTGTAGGTGTGTGTGAGATGAGCTTTTGACTTTGTGTATTTGTAGGTGTGCGTGAGACTTTCAGCCTTAACAAAAACGATATTCTTTCAAAAGGGAGAATAGAAGGTATTGAAGAAATTGCTTCCCAAGGTCTTTTTTCATGTTTGTTTTGGTGTGTTTTGGATTTTCTTTTTCTTTTTTCCCAGGCTTGTTTATTTCACTTTTTTTGCATTCATGTGTATACATGTAACTCTGTAGTGTTGTCCACAGCCCACCCAGGGTGGGAGTCTTGTAGTGCCCAAGTGCAGTCTCTATGAGGTCAATGGCTGCTGTGATAATGCTWAACTGATGCCGCCTGTCAATACTCATTCACCAGGAGAAAAGTCCTCCGCCTGTTCAGTAAATTACACAGTGCAACATGAGCTGTGAGGTTCAAAATAACCTGACCCCATTGTTGTTGTGTGAAACAATAGAACAATGACTGCAATCAGCTTTTTCAGCAACCATCTGTGTCATGCTGCTGCCTACAAAACACCTTTCCATTACTTCAGGGCTGCAGCTATTAGCTCTCCATGCTATTGACTCTAAAGTGAGATGGAGACCCTTTATCCAGTTTTTTTTCTTTGTTCTGATGACCTTGACATAAGTAAGYTTTTTAAATAGTATAAAGCTTGTGATTGTATTTTTTTTATTTTCTCCACAGATCAACACAATGGAWATTTGCTTATGATTACTGTAACTTAAATGTGTTTTGTTTCTGTTTGAGGCCTKTGTTTCCTACTTTTTTCCTTGACTCGATTCTTCTCACGGCTTCTGCAAACATTCTCGAGAGCAATACGAAAAGCTGTCCATCATGCACAAGAACATGCAGAAGCTCTATGAGAACATCGGCAGTTTCTTCGCATTCGACCCCCACTCGGTCAGCGTGGAGGATTTCTTCGGAGAGCTGGCTAACTTCCGCACCCTCTTTATGGTAAGTTTAAATATATATCGTATTGATATTTTTTTTGTCTTTTGAAGTAAGCACAATGTAAGAGTGGCTACAACACACACACACCTTTCTACACACAGGATGTGTGTCGTTACGCATGTTCACATTTTGATGAAACTCACTGAAGGACCTCGCAGATGTTAACACGTGTGAAAATTAGTTTTCTACTTGCWTGAAATAAATTAGATGTTAAACTGGAACTCCAATTACATAGAACTGCACCTGTTCATGTAGATGAGGATTTTTTTTTTAAGATTTCCTAGAAATGTATGATATTTTCTCATATTGACATTTTTATTTTTGTGACTTTGAAAACTCTATACCCTAATTTTAGAACTTAGACATTCTCACRTATTTTAAGGTAACTTCAAATGCATCACTATTTCATTGCCTGGATTAATTTTAAAAGTACAAAATATAATTTGGAGTTAAGCAGTAAAGTAGTTCACACTGCCTGTTTCATACTACCTACTGTATGAGAGAGAGTGCACCACTTCTTTTTCCTGACCATTTACTGTAGATGTTAGATTTACTCAGCCATGACAAGCATCAGTGGTTCTTTTAACTTTTTTTTTGCTCTAATAATGTAACTATGCTCACCTCCTGTGGTTTCTTCCCAAATGTAATTGTTTTGTAGGTCATAACGCCCTTCTTTTCTTTATCCCCCACCAACAAATTTTGCACTTAACACTTTTTTTCTTTTTTTTAAAGTGCTGCATTTGACCTGGAGGTTTAGATATTTTTTCCTTTCTTTTACTTGCCCCTCTCCTTGAAGTATGAAGGGATTTTTTTCTTGCCATCTACAGTACTTCCTGAGAAAATAAACTTTTGTGCAGGAAAGTACATTTTATGTTTTCGTTGTCGCTTTTTATTTTTGTCAGTCCTAAAACTAGTTTTTTATGTATTAATAAATTCAAGATGGGTCACAAATTTGGTGTTTTGATCAACACAAATCATTGAGTTTATACAATGATGTTTTAGGTGATTCACATAGAAGCTTTTACACCTGCATGTTTTGCTGATAATCTTAATAGAAAAACTGTTAAAGTGTTTAAAATATATGTTAGAAATTTTATTGTTCTTTTGTTATATAAAACTATGCGTTTTTCTATAGTAACACTTAGAAATAGTCATATGCTATGATTTGAGAGGACAACTAAAAGTAAGTGAGGAATATTTAATGAAAGACTTTATGATACATTATTCTGAAGAATGATGCTAAAGATAGGAGAGTAATAAACAACCCCCGGGCAGACATATTAACTTGTTAAACACTGTTCCATCAGCCTGSACCTGTTTGCATGTGTTCATATAGTTTATGCAGTCTGAAGCAGATTTGATGAGTTTTTTTTTCTAGGAAAACTTACAGTTAAGGTTTTCAAGTTGTAAAATGGATTAAGATGTATTTTCATCGCAAGGAAGACATCTCTGTTTTATGGCTCGGAAAATGACTCTAGTTGAATGTGCAACATTATCTAAAAACCACATTCACTTAAAAGAAAAACTATTCTTACATTTAATTTCTTATATCAATCAAAAACTATGACACTGTACTAAAAACAACACACTTTCTCATTGTTTTTTATAAATACAGGAGCATACAGCGGTGTACTTTAAAAAGAATATTAAATGGAAATAATTAACGTTTGAAGAAACTGAAAAGGGTTGGTTTGTTTTAGTAACAGAGGTAATATTAATGTAAGATAACACAGCATCACTCCTGAGGAAAGGTTTCTATTTAACAGAACAGTCTTTTCAACTTTTATCCAAGTCTCTTTGTTTGTCTTCCTCCTCTGAATCCCTCCTGGCGCCACCCCAAAAGCTYCTGGTGTCAGGATGATGACATGGTGTCCAGACGGTATTGTCTTTTTCTCTTCACAATCCATTAGAGTAAACGACAAGGTCCCCTTGTCTGAATCGTTCTCTTTACTTTCCCCGATCCCCATTTGAAACCATCTCCTCATTCTCTCTGATCAAAGTGCACAAGCACACAAAACAACACTCCCTCAAGAATTCTAGAGTTGCATATCTCTAAAAGAGGCATCCAGCCAGGAAAATAAATTATTCTCTCAAGCAAATAGCTGCATATGAACATTTTATTACCAATTTAAACTTCCCTGCTATAGTTAAGGGGGTAGAAGTGGGATATAGTGCTGTTAATATATTCATACAAAAACAGTCCTTTAATCACCACATTTCTCAGATATTATTTATAGTTTTTGGCTCTTCAGCTTTGCTGACATAAAGGCTAATCCCTTCTGCTTGCAGAGCACAAGAAATCAATGGTTGTTCCGATTTGATTGTTGTTTCATTTTCTTACCATGTGAAATAACTAAGCTAAATCCTTTTGCAGCGAACAGACGATTCCTTTTTAGCTTTTACAGTTTGTAAAATGTTGTTCAGGAAAGGTCTGGTGTTTGTTTGTCTTTGAAAAAGTCAACTAACATCAATTGCAGCTTATTGTTCCAAATGGCAAATCAAATGAGTGTGATGACTTATTGTCAGAAAACTTTTCAACTAAATGTCTGGTGAGCCTGAGAGTTTTTATTGTTTTATTTTTTTTTCAAGATTTTCAATTTAATTTTAATGCTAAGTTGCTTGACTCAGACAAAAAAAATTGTTAAAAATGTCCTCGCTACGTTCTGTCTTTGTTGCATTGCCCTTTGTAATGCAGTGCCAAGCATCTGCAGTATTAAAGAATTCCATAGCAATATAGTCACCCTAAATTGCTTTCACTAAAAAGCGAGAGCTTAATGCACCCGACCGACATAAGGCATTTGAGTAAACGCACTGACAGACAGTCCTCACAAAACTGAATGTAACTGATAAGAGAATCCATTAACTCTATTTTCCTTCAGTTTCATTTTTTGTCTCTCCCTCGCCCCCGCCTTGTTCCCCCTTTTTTATTTTATTATTTTTTTCTTCTGTGACCAATGAAATATATTTGATTCCAATATATGGAGTCAGTATTTGAGGGGTTTAACAATTTGTTAATTTAATAGTACTGTCATACTTTGAAATAGAGCATGGGTAAAATGCATTTGCGGGGTGTGTATTTATGTAATCCTGACCAGAAGCATGAAGGTGAGGATTTTTTTTTTCTGTCGTTAATGAGTTTATCAAAGCTAAGCAGATGGGCTGGGATGAGCTAACAGTTTTCCTTGTCAATGAAGTGACTTTCTAATACAACTAAAGGGCTCAGACTGGGTTCATAAAAAAGCATGATAGAGCATCAACGCAATCAGAATGATAGTTTTGGTGCCTCTTGATTTGGGTGCCTCCAGCCACATATGAGTCTATTTATAAAGTTTACTAATGCCTTCAGTGTGAGAAAGTATCCCAATAATGGGAAGGATGATGCTTAGACAGACACACYACTGAATCATCATCATGTTTCTGTAGTATATTTACTTACTCATGAGTGACACAGTCATTACATTCACTGCAGCAGACTAGGAGGTCATTTGTCAGTGTGGTATACATGTAGACCACTGAGCAGAAGTCTCACAGTCTATAGCCTATAACTTCTTGAAGCCATTTCCCCCCACATCCTGGCATATACTGCAGCAGATGGCTAATAAACACATTTGCTGCTTAAAGCCCAGGCGTTGTGGTGTTTGTAAAATTCAAATGAGATGCAGCAATGACACTCTCTATGTGAGATTACTGGTGCAACCAAGCAGTTGGAGATACTTATTGCTCCCTCATTGGGCCAGCAGACTTGTATGGGAGGGAAGCCCTGCTGTAGAAGATGTATTGTGCTGCACAGGGTCAAGGAAGAACAGCACACACATTTCATCAATTATTGAGAGAACAGATCCTGAAAAAGAAAAATCAGCCTCGGTCTTGTTGGTACATTGAACCTGTGGGTCACAAAAAATAAATAAATAAAAAATAAATAAATAAATAAAAAAAGAGAAGTTTTAATTTCCACCCCACACTTATCGAAGATCAGGAGTATTATATGCACTATGGCCTCTCCAACTACAAAAACTAAATTTGACACATTAGTGCTGCTGTTCACTCAGTGGCTACGKTCACACTGCAGGTCTTAATGCTCAGTTCCGATTTTTTGAAAAAATCTGATCTTTTTGTGTGAACGTTCACATTACATTTTAAATACAGTATGACCTGTATCAGACCCCTGTGTGAACGCTACACAGCACTGATGTGACACGCATGCGCAGTAAAAGACGTGACGTCTCAGCCGG